TGTATCCATGAGAAGCCATTTTTTTTTATTTATGGTCTCTAATCCCAATAACTGGTCTCTATTATTATTATTATTATTATTATTATTATTATTATTATTATTTTTTATTTTCTTTGATTTCTGACGTTTACACATTTCTTTCCGGGTCCCGCCCAGGGACCTAAGGTTAGAAATGGCGTCAAGACACTTGCCATTGAAAAAAAAAAAAAAAAAAAGAATTAAATTACATAGATAAAGCCCTTCGTAAGGTGTGGGCTGTACTTGTCAGAACAATTTTTTGTATCTCCTTGAGGCATGGACTTCCAGGAATCCCTTCAATTAGTCTACTGCAATCTTTTCCAACCAGTCCTAGGGCTCCAACTACAACAGGGATTGTTGATGTTCTCATATGCCACATTTTCGAGATTTCTATTTCAAGGTCCTTGTATTTTGACAACTTTTTGAATATCTTCAAAGATACATTGCAGTCAGCAGGGACTGCCATATCAACAAGGAGGCACCGTTTTTGTTTGTGGTCTTTAATAACAATATCTGGCCGGTTGGCCTTGATTGTTCTGTCAGTGTGTATTGTGTAGTCCCATAGAATTGTAACAGGTCCTATCTCCATAACCGGATCTGGGTGGTGTTCATACCAGTTTCTTTCAGTTTCCTTCCCGTAGAAGTTGCAGATTTTTTATTATTATTATTATTATTATTATTATTATTATTAATATTATTATTAACGTACCATGATACTCTTGTATACATGTCTCGGGTACTGAAATAGAAACAAGCAAAAAAATTAACATTTTTAACCAAATTTATTAAGGAAGGCAATAAAGCCCCTACGTCGCAAGGGTTACTGGGAGAAGCGAGAACGATAGAAGAGTAATCGGGAAGACAGCAGATACCGATTGATATTGCATTTAGATTATTTAAGAACAAAGTTAACTCGAAAGCATCGAGCCAGAATAGATTTCCACACGCGAGAAGTGCGAGAAAAGAAACTCTCAGCCTAGAACTTACGGTTACGTCTAGCCAACTCAACTGCAATTTGATGAGACCTTGCCGCCAATCTAGTACTGCGCTCAAAATCCATAGCGAAGACCTCATCCGAACAATTACCATGAAAGGGTTTATAGAAAAAGGCACAGGAAAGTAACTCTAAGGTCGTGGACGAGTGACTGAAGACGAGATACTAGATCAGGACTGATAATATTGCAGATTTTTATTTGGATTTTTTTTTATGAATAACGAACCGGTTATCACTCAGCCTCTCGTTAGAGCTCGATCAAGATAAATAAAATTACTGTGCACACCTGTTAATAAATGAACTTGAAGATACACCCATTTCATAAGTAGATAGCATTAAGTCCGTACAACAACAACAACTCCCTCTGTTTACACAGAGGTGGCTGTTTTAGTCTCAAGAAAGATTATTTCGAAGACCTTCAGATGATAACGGGAATAGTTTGTTGATTGTGTTTAGCGACATATTTACGGGTTATTTAATGCAGAAATTTAAATATATTTTAAGACAATTTTATGGTTTCATCTAAATATATTTTGTATGCATTCAACTTGAGATGAAAACATTTTGCTTTAAATATGTATTGCTGGTAATTTTACTATAAATAGGTATTATTGGTGGGTTGATTTTTTAGCAGCGTATCAACCTCTATGGGTTATTTAATATCGAAATCTGAATATTTTGAACCCAATTTTATGGTTTCAACTAAATATATTTTGAACATAATTATATGCTTTCAACTACAAACAAAATGTTTTGTCAGTCATTTTAATTAAAGAATTGGTAACTTTATTATAAATAATTATTGTTGTTTGGTTGATTTTGTTTAGCGGCGTATCAACCTCCATAGGCTATTTAATGCCGAACTCTAAATATTTTTTACATAATTTTATGCTTTCATCTACAAATATTTTATACATAATTTTATACTTTGAGAGAAAAGGTCTGATTTCAGATATATATTTTGTAGATCATAAAATGTATTGTTGGTTATTTTACTACAAATATGTATTTTTATATTTTTTTAGTGTTGCATTGACTGTCATTTTGAAATATGAATGTTGATAATTTTTATCATAAAAAATGTACTGTTGATTTTTGTTTGAGGGTTTATTATTTACCCTTATTCATATAACTCTAGATATATATTTATAAAACACTCCAAATATTCAGTTAAAAATAAAATAAAATCCATTCTTAATAATGACTAAAAGTATAGCCGAAAGCGCTTGGATATATAAAACATTCGGATAATTTTTATATAATTTATGCCCTGAAAAGAAAAAATTTAGAAAAAACATTAAAAATTATATAAAAAGCTTAACCACAGCAACTTTTAGTCGTTTTAATAAAACATCCGCATATATATATATATATATATATATATATATATATATATATATATATATATATATATATATATAAAAGTGCAGTTTAGTTAATATTGCGAAAAGTAGTCATACAAAGAATAAATCAGTAAAGTTACTGTAATTAATGGCGAAATCACTTCGCTAACAGATTAAATAAGACATTAACGCTCTAACCACTTATTGAACGACGCGATCTTTGTTTTATTTAATCTGTTAGCGAAGTGATTTCGCCATTAACTTTACTGATTTGTTCTATGTATGACAAAATGCGCCTGAAGAAATTATTTCAGTTGAGCTCTTCGGAGTGAAAAGTTAATTTGTAAACGGTGACTATTACTGCTGCTGATGCAAGACTCTTCGTTAAGAAGAATCGAATTCTCCGGTCACTGGCGTGTTTGTCTAAAGATAAATAAGTCATCACTACCGCCCAAGTCTTGTGCCAACAGCTTAGTGGTAAAATCTCCGACTGATACCAAATAAATCGGGTTTCCATCCTGACTTGAGGCAATCGAATTCCTGATGAGCTGCGAAACAGTCTTTCTATGGATGACTCTCTCTCTATATATATTATATATATATATATATATATATACAGTGCTGTTCGATAAAAGTGACTCACCTGATTTTTTACTTAAAAATTTTTTCGCCTATTGTTTTTGGGGTAAAACTAATTTTTAATCTGACTAATATAAAGACCCTTTCCCGCTCACCTAGTAAAAAAGTTTACTCACCTCAAGGTATTCTATTGATAATTATAATTTTGGATATAAATGAGATTTAGGGAAAAATCTGTGCAAAAATTGACTCACTTATTTCCTGCAACTAGTAATCAATAGAAACATAATCGAACAGCTTTAAATAAAGAATAATAGAGGTATAATTTATTTATAATAGGTAATATAGTTTGAAATATTTAATAATCTATGGGTCCTCCTTTATTTTGAATGACCTTTTCAACCTTTTTTGGCATTGCCTTGATTAGGTACTGGCAAACCTCATCTCCAAGCATTGAATTCCATTCGGATATGAAATTCACAATCAAATCCACTTTGTTGCTCAACTGCTTTGTCGAGAGCCTGTATTTATAATGCTCCATAAGTTTTCTATGGAGTTGAGGTCAGGAGATTGGGGCGGCCATGTCATAACACTCACCTGCTTCTCATCAAAGTATTCTTTCATCAATTTTGATTTGTGACAGGGAGCATTATACTGCATAAAAATGAGCTTGGTTGGGTCGATTTGTACCCTTTCAGCAGAAGGGAGCAGACAAGACTCTAAAACACTCTTGTACTGCTCACTCCTGAGGGTCTTTTCAATAGGTTTTAAGAAACCATTAAAAGAAAAGCATCCCCAGAACATTATACTGAACGGATGCTTGACACTACTTACTGCTAAATTGAAAAAAACTTTCAAAGCTTCTTCGGATTTTAGATAGCTTATCCTTTGAATTTAGCTCAACTTTCATTTCATCGGAGAAGAAAACATTTAGTAAAAAAAAAAAATCAGGTGAGTCACTTTTATCGAACAGCACTATATATATATATATCCTGTCCATCATCCCAGTACAGGTGAATTCAATTCTTGTTAACATCACAAATATGCTACCTTGCAAAAATAAAAGACAAAAACTTCAGATTCTCGAGGTCCTCTATATCCAAATCAAGCAACCAGATGGTGTCACTGTCCTTAAAACTTCTGAACCCGTTTTTTTTTTTCACACGTTCGTTCATATTTTGGGGGCCGTCTATATATTTAATTTCTTTTTCTCGCTGCTTTTTTCCAATTTTTGTAAACACTACTTACTACCCAAGCTGTAAAATAAAGAATAAACAATTATTGTTTGAAAAAGAAATAGGGAACAACTCAGCAGCAATTAGACAAGTTTTATGAAACTAATGATAGATAGATAGATATGAACAGTTTGACATAGATAGATAGATAGATAGATAGATAGATAGATAGATAGATAGATAGATATGAACTAAGTAAAACCGAGAGATAGATATGAAGATACTGTGATAGATAGATAGATAGATAGATAGATAGATAGATAGATAGATATGAACATATAAGACAGAGAGATAGATATGAAGATACCGAGATAGATAGATAGATAGATAGATAGATAGATAGATAGATAGATAGATAGATCTAGTAAGAGTACAAAATTAACGGATCGAAATAGATAGATTAATTAATATTTATGTTATATTTATGTCATATATTAAAATAAAAAATAAACAACTCAGCAACAATTGGCCATGTTTTATGAAATTAATAATATAACATGGAGATACAAGTTACCGAAAATCATCAGCAAAAATCCGAAAACATTTCTGTTTCCAACTTTTATGCGTCAATTTAACAAATGGCGCCAGAATGAATCGACAAACATTAACAAAAACAAGAAAAGCAAGAAATCACATATTTGGAAAATAAAATCTTTTTTGGTTTTGTTGTTCACTGAGAGTCATTTGAAATTGGTCCCCACTTGAAACTCATCTTTTTCTGCTCTTATTTTATATAATCCACCATAAATTACGACGTTGTGTCATGAGACCTATCAAACGGCTTTATGTATTTGTCCTCCCACGCAAAATTAAAAAAAAAATGGAAAAAAAATGGATGACAATGTGTCACATTGTGTCATTTGTCGGGTAGCGAACAAAAACGGTGGAATTTATCGTTTTTATTTTCAGCATCAGTTTTTCTTTTCTTTTCTTTCTTCCTGCTTATCTTCTTTCTTTTTTCTTTCTTTCTTTCTTTCTTTCTTTCTTTCTTTCTTTCTTTTCAGTTGATATATAGTTTCTTTCATTCCGTCGATAAATTTTCCCTTCTTTCTTTCTTTCTTTCTTTCTTTCTTTCTTTTATAGAGGTTATCATTTACATTATTGTTTCTTTTTTATTTAATTTCTCTTTTTCTTCCTTTTCTTTCCATTTTTTTTTATCTTTCTTACTGTTTATCGCACTATTTCGCTTTCTTTCTTTCGTTGTCTTTTACCCCTTTTCTTTCTTTCCTTTTGATTTAACTTCTTTCTTTCTTTCCTTGTTTCTTTTCTTTTCTTTCTTACTGTTTATCACTCTTTCTCGTTCTTTCTTTCTCACGTGTTGTCATTTACCCCTTTTCTTTCTTTTCTCCTTTTGATTTAACTTCTTTTCTTTTCTCACTGTTTATCTCTCTTTTTCGTTCTTTCATTCATTTACCCCTTTTCTCTCTTTCTTTTTCCTTTTGATGCAACTTCTTTCTTTCTTTCTTTCTTATTGTTTATTTCTCTATTTCTTTCTTTCTTTCATCATCACGTTCTTTCATTACTTTCTTTCTTTCTCATCATTTTTCTTACTTGCCGTCATCTTCTCGTTCTTTCTTTCTTTCTTTCTTTCTTTCTTTCTTATTGTTTATTTCTCTATTTCGTTCTTTCTTTCTCATAGGTTGTCTTTTTCCCCTTTTTCTTTTTTCTTTATTTCTTCTTCCTTTTTCATTTAACTTTTTCTTTCTCTTCTCTTCTTTCTTACTGTTTCTCTCTCTTTTTGTTTATCTCTTTCTTTTCTTTTCTTTTTTCTTCATTTACTTACGGCCACATCACGTTGAAACACCAATTCCCGTACGATCATCAATGTTAAGCAGCGTTGTATCTAGTCAGCTCCAAGATGAGTGACTGCTTGGGAATATCTGTTGCTGTAGACTTGGATGTGTGATTGGCGTAATGGATAGTGACGCGGAATTGTTAATAGGAGAGCCGATTTCAAACTCGCGTTGGTTCTTTCTATTCAATTACTTGCAAGGACTCTTGGGAAAGGTATGAATCCATCTCGTCTCTCCCCAACTATGGGTTAATTAGTAAGATTTGTAGCAATAAATGTTAGACATTTTCATGACGGTCGTCTTCGAGCATAGAATCCAGAGGTTGGCAGTGAATATTTCGGAGACAGTAGGAAAGCGTAGTTCAGGTTCGCAGTGGATATCGCAGCAAAGTAGCAGAGCGTAGTTCTTCCGTCTGTCATGTTCGCCGGACAAGTTGCCTCTGGTCATCCAGGTAGGAAAACAAAGATGGCCGCCTTTATACACGACGGATCCAGTGTTCTGCTGCTCCTGATTGGTTAATCTACTATTGGTAGACTATAAAGGGAAATAAGTCATTCTGACTCGCTCACTAGTCATATACTATACACAAAAGACTGTAACAATAAATAATTATTTAGTGTCACTAAGCTCTTACAAGCTCCAAACAAAAAATCATACAATCAAAAAATATTTTTCAGACTTTAAATAACCTGCCGTAGAAAACTAATCAATTTTTATTTATTTACTTTAATTTACAAGTTTTTTATTTTTTATTTCTTTTTTCCATTTCGTTTTTCTTCATTTTTCTATTTTCTTTCTCTCTCCATTTGTTTTTAATTTCATTCCTATTCTTTTTTTTTTTTTTTTCAAGCATTACATCCCGAGCAAGGCGTGAAGCCACTAGGATGCAGGAGGTTGCAGAAGATTTGGAGCGAGATCAGATAGGAGTGATAGAAGAAAGGATGAGGAGAAGGATAGTGAATAGGTCAAGGTAACTGGAGATGTCGATTGACATTACATTTGAATAGCTGGAGATTATAACTCTCAGGGAAACTGGAATAGGGAAGGGTGTTCCACGGGCGAGAGGTGCGAGACATGAAGCTATTGGAGTAGAAGACACGGCTACATTTAGGAGTTTCGACAGTAAAGGGGTGAGAGCGGGATGCCAGCCTCGTAGGGCGCTTGAATTCATGAAGCCTGGAAACCAGTGAAAGCAGCTCATCGGAGCAATTACCATGAAAGTATTTGTAAAAAAGACAGAGAGAGGCGACGGCGCGTCTGTGAGAGAGCAACTGTAGACGAGATGCCAGATCAGGGCCAATTATATTGCATTTCCGTCTCTGGATCTTGTCAAGAACTCTTTATCTATTTTGTAACTTTTTGGGGGGGCTTTTTAAAAAGTTTTTCCTGATAGATGTGGGATGGCAAATTATTTTTAGTTGTCATTTTATCTATCTATCTATCTATCTATCTAGTTAGCTCCTTCTATTCATCTACCGGCTGTAACAGCAAAAGTGTCCAATATTTAGATTAAGCTCTAAAACGTTGTATCTTAGAAATGATTAAAGATATCTTACTGAAATTCTCCGAGGTCTTTTCTCGCGTGCCAAACGGCTTATGGATTGAGTTGGTTCTTTTCTCATTGATCCCTTAGCTCTAAATTAAAATGGTTATCACTCTTCCTGTTGTGACTTCCGTATCCGGTTTTCCTCTTTCTTGTTCCCTCGTTTTTTAAACTTATTCACCATTCACTTGATGATGCTTGAATGAAAGCCAGAGTATGAATGTTGTTACCATTACTGAAGGCCTAAGTGATCTTTTTCCTCTCGCCATTGCTCCGTTGGGAAGGCATAGTGAGGCTGACACATAACGATTTTAACCTATTCTCTTTTTAGCTGAATAACTCAAAGGGCTTTCCAGCGATTCTTACGACAAATGGTGTTAAGATGACTAAACGTCTCATCTGAAAACGTGACAAAAATAAACTCAGTTTAGTGGGTTTTTTTTTTTTGTTTTTGTTTTTTCAGATATTAAATATTTTGTGGGATGGACAGTTTTACTGTGACACGATTCACTG